CCCCAAAACCCCAAAACCCCAAAACCCCAAACCCCAAAACCCCAAAACCCCTTAATTTTATAAGACTTGATAAAGTACTGAGAAAATATAATTAAAGATTGTTTTCTAATATTATTTTCAATACATATGCTAATCATTACTGGGCTCCATTGTTAATCCAAGATTCTGACCTTTTAGAACTTTATTCATTTGGAATGCCTGCACTCTTAGAATAGCTTATTCAGTTTCTCTGATGAACATTCTACCTAGAGCAACTGCTTCTTTGTAGCTGTTCAATGTATCGTTATCTTTTCTAGAATAGAGCAACTTGCTATGACTGTCAATTTTGGCTTAGATCTTTTTGCTTACTATTAAATCAGCTATTTCAGCTTCAATTTACTCGATACTGAGGTCAAACGCTTTAGCTATTTCTCTCATATCGATTACTTTATATGGAGTCACATACTAAATCAAAGCTTTCTTTCTAATTTCTCCAATGATCTATCCAATCTTATGACCAAGGAAGGGATCAAATTTGAGAGCCACTTGAATTTAGTTAAGCTGAGTTAAGAATTCCATGTATCTACCATTGAGTAAACTTTCAATCGTCTCAGAAGCATTTGGTGCTTGCTCCATGATATTTTTATAGTTAGATGAGTTCATAATCTGGGATTTGAGGTCACTTCTCTTCATACTGCTTAAAGAGCAGACGATAACATAGTAAGCTAAATCTTACTAGCTGATATACTTTAGTAATGCATAAGTATCAACCACTTAGATACTTGAAAATTTAGCTGCAGCTTGAGAGTGATTGTCGTTCAACAAACTAGAGAGTCCATCTAATATTTTGATTTGCATAGTAACCTTTTAATTCTTAAGCTTATCTCTTGCTTCTGCTTCACCACTATACTTGATAAGATAAGAGAGGTTCATGCTCTCATAGGCAGCTTGAGCAATCTGGAATGAGATGTTAAATAAATCATCCTCCTAAGTTGAAAAATCATGCGATTTAATCCAAGCCTTAATGGCTTCACTAGTAAACCCATATTGATAGTGTATATTTCCGAGCTCATTCATAGCAATTCTAATAGAATCTTTAAGCAAACTCTTTTGAAGCTATTAAATTTCTTGATCCTTCTTTTTTACTTCCATTCTATATTCTTGCTAGACTGTTCTTTCGAAATCTAATAATGGTTATATTTATTTTATTGGGAGACTTACTTGGATCTTGACCGAAATCTGGTAATGGCTATTGATCTAGCTTATCTTGGAAAGCTCTCTTTAGTATCTTTAAAGCCTCAAAGTAAAAGCTAAATAGAGGATTAATATACGAAGATTATGAATAGGTGATTATTAAAAGTCGAATTAATCTCCACTACTTACTAAAGTTTCTTCTCAGTTTTTGCCATTTCAAAGCATAATTTAAGTGCCTCCTCCCTCAATTTGAATTACTTATCAGCTATAACGAGTAATCTCACATATCTAGTATTTCCATGGTATTGCTAGATGTAAGATTTGAGAGATAGAGAGTCGGGATATGTTTCCATATTTTGGGAATTAATTAAGATATCAATAAATTATAAGTTAATGAATTAAAGAGCAATTAAGTAAAATTATTAAATTTGAATTATTACTGAGCGATGTAATTTAATAAATATAAAATTTCAAACAGTCAATTTCAACATGACTTCCAATTCATATGTAAATTATAAACACTTTAACTCTATAAATAACAGCTAACTTCTTATATAGTAACAGAATCCTATTTATTACCAGGGTTCTCAATAGAATAATGTCAATAATATCTATGGCTATCAGTATACATTCTTAGAAAATCAGCTAATTGAAGCCATCAAATAATCGATGAGAAATGAATTGTACTCAAATGCTGCTTTTTTATGTGAGAGATTATATGCTGAGTTCAAAGATGACAAGAGATAAAATGAGGATGTTAAACTTCTTCTAGCTGAGTGCTATCTAGGTAAATTTATACTCATCTGCATCTCAATTTTAACTCCTAAAATTTGATAGGTGAAGGAAAGGCTTATAAGGCTTATGAAGTTTTGAAGAATAGTTAAAGTAATGCAAACAGATATAAGTTCGCGTTAACTTGCCTGAAATTGAACAAGTTATAAGAGGCTGAAAAAGCACTCTTAAACAAAAAAGGATCACTGCCTCTTTAGTAGTAGGATCATAATGCCCTCTCGTAGGTACCAAATGGAGCAGCAGGATTATACTTATTAGGCTAAATATGTGAAAGATAAATTAAGCGCAAAGAAGCAGTTGACTTTTACTAAAGAGCTTTAGCGCTTGATCCAACTCTATGGTGTGCATTTGAGAGATTGTGCCGATTACAGATGAATATTGACCCTAATAAGGTATTTAATGAAAATCACTAAAGCATTCAAAGATTAAACTAAGTCATTAGAGATTATATGCTTCAATAACAACATCAAATTAATAGCATGAATGGTGTTCAGGCATCACCGAGCTAAAACTTGCAGATAAACCCAAATGCTACTTAGTATCAAACTAAGTCTCCTAATATTAACATGCAGAGAAGTCCATCAAACCAGGATATGAAAGAAAACCAGTAAATGTCTGCTAAAAAGAATTTAAATATCACTAATGAAGATATCAACAATGAGGACGATAGTTCTTATCAAAATGAACTCAAAACTCCAACTGGATAGTCAAGTGGCTAGTATATTACACCTACTAGCAATATGAATCAAGTGCCAACAAAAAAGCTTGGACACAATGCCCCCTCTCAAATTCATCATTAAAGTAGAATAATGATATCTAACAATGTTTCAGCTGGAGGCAGTCAGATAATAACAGGAAGTGGTTTAGGCTAAGGAATTGGAGGTGCAGGTTTAGCAAATCAATTATAATTTTAAATGGATGATTCTATGACTGGTGTTCAATAATCAATTATTCATTCTCATCTATATCCAGCTAACAATGTTGGAGACCCAATCATAAAGCCTTTCACTATTAGCACACCTAATTTATAGAATATTCAAATTCAGTAAAATCAAAATGGTGTATCATAGCAATTCATTCATTAGATGAATACAACTCCAATTTAAAACAACTAGAATTAATTGTAGCAATAGTAAATTTCAAGCTTTGATACAAACTAATAACTACAAAGTGAGGACCGAGGAAAGGCTAGCTTTTTGACAGGATCAGCCTCCAACTAAAAGACTAAGAAAAATTAAGTTGCATAATCCCAATAGCAATAGGTTCTCTAAACACCTTAATAGTAAACACAATAGTAATAGTAGGCATAACAATTATATACATTGCAAGCATTACTTCAATCACCACTATCTGTGGACATTCAAGATTTAATGTCCCTATTAAAAGTTTTAGGACATGCTTTTCTTCAATTATGCCTCTATAGATGCCAAGAAAGCATCAAGATTTTTGGTAAATTACCTAAGAAGCAATATAACACAGGCTGGGTTTTATCTCAGATTGGAAAATGCTACTTTGAGATGGGCAAATATTAAGAGGCTGAAAAGTTTTATTATAAAGTCATGTCAACTGTTGAGCCCTATAGGCTTGAGGGTATGGAATACTATTCAACCTGTTTATGGCATTTAAAAAAATAAGTTGAACTTTGCTTTGCCTCTAATCATTGTTTAGAGAAATCATTATTTGCCCCTGAGACTTGGTGCGTTGTGGGCAACTGCTACTCTCTATAAAAGGAACACGAGACTGCCTTAAAATATTTCAGTAGAGCTATTTAACTCAATAGCAATTTTGCCTATGCTCATACCTTATCTGGTCATGAGTATGTTGCCAATGAAGACTTTGATTAAGCCAAGAAATGTTATCAAAAAGCTTTGACAGTAGATGAGAGACATTATAATGCCTGGTGGGGTCTTGGAAATATCTGCTTGAAATAAGAAAAGTTCGATCAAGCTGCTACATTATTCCAATCTGCCACCTAAATTAACTAAAGATCTGCAGTTCTCTATACATATCTCGGTATGACCAAACATAATTGCTCTCAACCACATGAAGCATTATAATACTTTGAAAAGAGTGAAACTATAGATCCCACCAATTCTCTCAATAAGTTTTAAAAGGCAAACGTTCTATCCGCTTTGGAAAGATAAGAAGAAGCCCTCTAAGTATTCCTTGAGCTACTTAAATAAGTTCCAAAGGAAGCACCAATTCATATCCAAATAGGTAAAATATACAAACGAATGGGAAATATAGAGGAAGCACTAAAATACTTCACTAGAGCCTTAGATTTAGATCCAAAGGATACAAATATGGTTAAAAGTTTGATCGATAAGATTCACTCCTAAGGAACTGGTGGAAATGGAATGAATGGTGGAGATCTAAATGATGATCCAGATGTCTAAATTCTATGATGAACTTTTATTGATATCGATGATAATCACTATTATAAACTTCTTATTAATGACTGATTTTATCCAACGGGGTTTTGGGGTTTTGGGGAGATCGGAAGAGCACACGTCT